AAGTAGTAGATAATAACAACAATAAACAAACACATAGAGACAGTGATTGGATTGGTGGTTACCAGAGGCGAAGGGGGGAGGGAGGAGGGCGAAAGGGATAATTTGGCACATGTGTGTGGTGATGGGTTGTAATTAGTATTTGGGTGGTGAACATGATGTAGTCCATGCAGAAATAGAAGTACAGTGATGTACACCTGAAATTTATACAATGTTATAAACCAATGTTACTGCAATAAACAAAAAATTTAAAAAAATTAAAAAAAAACAATGATGTGGTTATCACCCTTGTAGATAAACCCTTGGGCATAATCCAAAAGGAACACAAAATTATAAAGTTTTTTGCATTGCCAAACCGTCCTTGCAGAATGATTTGTGCCCATTTAGATAAAACCTAGTATGATATGAGATTATCTATTTTACCAATTCTCCTGTATTTTAAATGAGATCATGAGTAGGAAGTACCTAATACAGTGTCTACATTTAGTAGCTGTATATAAAATGTGGTTCCTTTTTACTCCATTCTCACTGAGGAAGAGAATTCCACTTTCTACACTTAAGTACATGAGGAACATTGGGGTTTATTTATTTATTTATTTTTGGCATTTAATGCATTTGAGGCATTGAGGTTCTTACATAAGTGTGTTTCCTTATTGTTTTCACTGAATTATAGGAATGGATGTAGCCTATTCCATTCTAAATCTTCCATGGAATGAGATTAAACATCTTCAATTATTTGGACTGCAAAATTTTCTTTTATCTTTTTAACTCAATCCCATTAGGTAAAAGAAAAAGAAAGGATTTACTCAGGGCTCTTGGTTGTCTGTTTATCAACAATGGAGATTCTCATTTTCCTAAGTGGAAATAAATTTTCTGAATATTTTGGATCATCGTCTCTCAATTCCATGCAAATGCCTTAGAGATGAATAATGGTAACACCAAAACTATCAAAATAACAAGATGCACAAAGCCATCCCCTAAGAAATCTAACCTTCCATTCACTTTCAGAACCTAGAAAAGTTTTTAAAAAGAGACAAGTTATTTTTAGCACAAGTCATCCTGAAGGTAGCAAAAGAACATTGACAACCTACAAACGGCAGAATGATCATGGCAAGGACTTCTAAAGGGAAACCTTGCAAACTAGAGTGGAAGGCCAAGGAATATATATTTAAACTCCTTCCACCTTAAACTCCCGTCAAACTGAAACAGCTGGCTATCACTGAGAGCATAGTGGATTCCCAGGGTGTCCTGGGGAAGAATAAAAACTAAAAAAGAACTTAGTTGCTGAGAACTTATAAAGAATTAATGTCACCAGCTTTAAATATCAGAAAATAAATATAATACAAAAAATCTTATACAAAAACGAATGAAAAAAAAAAGTGCACGTTCCTGCAGCATGGGGTAACAAAGAAACGGTGAGATCTTCTACCTGTTTATTCTCTGATAGCTCTGGGTGCTTTCACTGCCTTTGACATTTTTCTAGTAAGATCAGAGTTTTCTGTTGTGTCATTTCACCACAAAAAGCCAAAACTGACCTTTAAATTCAGCTTCTCATTTGTTTACTCCAAAGGTACTACATTTCTGGTGTTTAAGAATTAAAAAGAAAAATCTTAGAAATACACAAGATGATTTTCATGTTAATTTCCTTTATGTGTTTCCAAGTGCTTAGTTTCTTTTAAAATGGCACTGTTGCTTTTATTTTAGGCATTTATGTTTATTTTTATTTATATTTTTTCTAAGGAAGATTCACCCTGAGCTAACATCTGTGCCAATCTTCCTCCATTTTGTATGTGGGTTGCCACCACAGCATGGCTGCCAACAAATGGTGTAGGTCCACGCCCAGGAACCAAACCCGGGCTGCCAAAGCAGAGCGTGCCAAACTTAACCACTATGCCATGGGGCTGGCCCCTTACGTGTTTATTAATCATACAAACGGAAGCCCCAAGCTTCCTCTGTCAAGCATATTGTAAAGGAACAATCTTCCTTCTCTATTGTTCAGCCAGTTCTTTTGTGCTGCTGTGTTTTGCCTATTGCTTCCCTTCACTCCCAGGGCCCAATAAGTCCAAGAATATTTTAAAATCCTAAGACAATGGTGAAAACGTCCGTTAATAAAAATATATCAATAATATATTTATTCATTTTTTATAGCTGTCATAATCCATAATTTCTAGAAGTATTTTTAATATTAGTGAAACAGCTAAACAGTGACTTAAACATTAGAAACATCTACTGTTGAAAGGATTTACACTATTAGTTAAATTCAGCTTTTAGTTAGCATTCATATCATTTCCTTGTTCCTTTTATCCTCTTTTATAACCTCCTTTGAAAAGCTGAAGGTGAAGTGGTGTTTTACAAAACCTTACAATTCTCAGAAATGCCTAATCTTTTTATTGGAGAACCTATCACTGGTATAATTTTCATCCTGTACAGGCTTTTCATTTCATACAAATTATTTACATTTAATTCAATTAAGTTTATGATCTTCTCCCAATTATAACAAACACACACAGTATGTTTAATTAATGTTAATATTTTTCAATAAAACCTCCTTGCCTGCTCTTTAAAGCATTAACTGAGACTGCCCGTTTACAGAGCTGATGCATACAAAGCTATTTTCCTGGCTAGTGTCAGATGGTTGGGACCGTTAGTTCCCAAACATTTCAGCACACTGAGGTTACATATATGATTCTTTTAAGTGGCTTCTAATGTTTCTATAACGTGATAAAATGCTATTAATCCTTTGTAGCCACTTTTTAAAAAGTACTTTGTGTGCTGAAAACAAGTTCAGAAATTCAAAGCAATTTTATGTGAAGTAATATTATCCTTACATCAGCATAAATTAATTCTTTCCATAAAAGTGTTGGTGGATCCTGTGAGGGAAATAAAACATAGCATTGTTTATGCTTTGTAAGTGCAAAAGCAAAAATCTCACCCATTGCTTATGTTTTTGTGATTTGCATTATCTGGTACAGTGACAGTTATACATTATCTTCTCAGATGTTTGATAGTATTTAGGAGAAATCTGGAATGACCTCAGGATGATCTCTCAAGTCCAGCTGCTTAACTCTAAATTCTATTTAATAACAGTTTGTGAAATCAGCACATCTTCTCATAACTCTCCCATGGGTTGCAAGTGATCAAACAGACAAACCCATAATGACAGGACAGTTAGATGGGTTTAACAGAAAGGGAATTCTAAAGACATTCATGAACGACTATCAAACTGCACACTGGGAAGGCCATATCTTTTATTAAAATCATCACAAATACAAAAGCATCAGTGAAATATATATATATATACATCGTATACATATATTCTCAAATTCCTGGAAAATTATCCAGAATTTATTGGCTTTACATTTCATTACATGGCATATCCCTAAAACATTAAATAGAATAAAAATATCCACGTGACTTTTGGATGAACAGCATTCTTTGCATTTTTAATTCGTGTGTTTTCATTCAGACATTTGCTTGTTTGTCAAGGATTGGCTAATAAATGTTTCCCAATTTAGGCTTCCTGGCCATGGGAGTGACACGTTCTGTGTCCTGTAAAATTTGGTAGCTTGTAATGTCTTTTCAAACTTCAAGTGTATCTTGCCTTTTCTGTAGCAAGAGCCAGCCTGCGGATGTTGGATATACAACCAGCTGCAGCTTCCTGGAGCTCCTGATCCGGGGACCCAACCATATCCAGTAGCAGCTGTCACACATAAAGGAGGAGGAGGAGAAGGGAAATCAGAATAAAACCATTAATCTAAAGATGTAAAGTTAAGCTATGAAAATAATTTTAAATATTAAATATTTTTAAAAGTCATCAAAAAAAGTATAAGAAATTCCATTTGGGCAAATACAGATATAAACGGTGTTTAATCAGATGCAGGAATTGTTCATGAAATTCTTACCTTTCTATTTTCTGGAGCTGAGCTAGACCTGCTTCTCTCTCCTGTCTCTGGTTATCTAACTGTTATGGATCCTGTGTGAAATTTCTCTTGCATCCTTTCTAGCTTTTCCACCTCCCAGGACAAGCATATCAGGCCTAGACTATTAGTACATCCTCTTAGATTTAATCTCTCTGCATTCCAATGCACCTGATCATGTCACAACCTAATTATATCAGGCCCTTAATAGAGACTTTCATTGACTCCCAATGCCATCTAACTAGAGCCCAGTCTATTAACCTGTCCTTAAAGGATTTTTGTGTTCTGGCCTCAGATTACAAGTCATTCATTTTTCTCCTGCTCCATCTCGTACTCCAAGGTCACACTTCCCTACTTCCCTTGCCTTGCTTGATGTCATCCCTCTACCTAAAATGTCCTCCCTTCCCCTTCTCTGACTCTCGAAACTTTATCCATCTTGCACGACCCAGCTACAGCTAACTTTTCCACCAAGCATCCACTGATTTCCATCAAAATGCCATTTCTTCCTCATTACAACTCGCACAACTGTTTACTCAAATGTGTGTTGCTACACTTATATTCTTCCCTTTTAACAGATATTTGGATTAATGTTGTCTGTACTTTTGATGGTAAACTCTGAAACTTATAATACCATATAGTGCCTAATAGATAATAGATGCCAAATAAATGTCAAATAAATGCATTAGAACTTTTAAAATCTATCAATTGTGATTCTAACTAGTAGTTCTGATAAAAGATTTAAAAATTTAATTCAAATCGTATGTTTTCTATACAACAGCAGTTAAGTAAAAATGTGCATAATGTCAGAAAATGAGAATAACTTGATGAGCAAAGAAATGGTGTCAAGAGAAATATTGTAAAACATCTTAATATGGCAGGCTCAGGAGTTTGGCTTTTATTCTGTAGGTAATAAAAAGCAGTTATTTAAGCACTTTAATCAGGAGAGTGACAGGGTCATATTTGTATTTTAGAAAGATAACTTATATGGCAACTTATAGAATATGGACTGTAGAGAGAAGAGACTGAAGGCTACCACAACACTTCAGGCTAGAAGTGACAAGGATTGAATAAAGCAGGATCCAGGAATATCACAGAAGGAATCAATTCAAGGGATATTTAGGGACTAAACTATTCAACAAATGGCCCAAGGACAGTTGGTTATCCAAGTAGAAGAAAACAAAAATGGTAATCTCACATCATACATAAACATCAATTCCAGGTGGATTAATGATTTAAATAAGAAAAGAAAAATATAAAACATTTAGAAGGTTGTATATGAGAAAATCTTGATCAGATTGGGGTATTGAAGGATGGCTAGCCTCAGTTCCCTGACCACCTCATTCTAATGATCTTCAACTTTAGCCCCCCACTTCTAGGGTCACAGCCTGGTCTTTATATTTCATCACTCTCAACAGTCCAGCCTCCAAACTCTCTGAGAACAATTTCTTCTCCTCTGACTTGGCTGTTGAACTTACTTGTTTGTTCTCATCACAACCTCTAGTCCATTGACCTATATACTTTTTCTTTAACCATCTCTTGTCTTCACTTCCTCCACAATCAGTTTAGATTCCACAGTACATCTTTTCAACCACTCTCTTACCAGTTTTTTTTTTTCTTTTTTGAAAGATTCGCCCTGAGCTAACATCTATTGCCAATCTTTCTCTCTTTTTTTTTTCTCCCAAAGCCCCAGTGCATGGTTGTATATCCTAGCTGTAAGTCCTTCTAGTTCTTCTATGTGAGCCACCGCCATAGCTTGGCAACTGACAGATGGGTGGTGTGGTTCTGTGACCGGGAAACGAACCGGGGCCGCTGAAGCGGTGAGAGCGCCGAACTTTAACCACTAGGCCATCAGGCTGGCTCTCTTACCAGTTTCTTAAACCTCCTTATGACACCCATCCACTAAAACCATAACCAACTCTGTCTTCCGCAGGCCCCCACCTGTAATGAAGCCCTGCTGGAGCCAATATGTATACAACAAGGCAAATGAATCCACTGTAAATCCAACCTCAACTGGATTCTCATTACTGCCCAGCAATCTACACATATCTCTCTCTCATTAGGTCATTTTCTCACTCTTTCTTATGCCTATTTCAAATCTTCTTCATTGTTCTCCAATCTCCAACTCTTCCTTACAGCCCCCATTCTCAGCAGATAACCTAGAAGGGCTCCTTCATAAACTTGATAGAAGTCATTAGATAGGAACTACTTCAACCAAATCTGTAAACCTACCCGCATCTTAACACACCTTTTTCTCCTTCTCTTCCAGTTATAATGGATGTATCTCTCCTTCTATCTCTCTCTTCAAGGTCCACCACTCCACTTGTATTCTCCATCCAGTCTCCTTCTCCTTAGGACATTTTACCACCACGTGCTCCCTCTCTTCTTACTTTATCTTGAACCTCTTCCTTCTACTGAATCCTTTCCATTATCACTTAAATGCACATCTCCATATCTTAAAAAACAACCACCACCTCCTCCCAAAAAGCCCACCATTTGACTCATTTTTTTCCCTTTATAAACAAATTTCTTTAAAGAGTTGTCTGGACCCACTCTCTCCAATCTTAAATTCCATTCAACTCACTCTAAGTTGGCTTCTGCCTTTAGCTCTCCACCGAAACAGCCCTCTCGAAGGTCATCAATAACTTCCACATTGCAAAGGGCAATAGACACATTTGAGTCCTCACCCTATGTGACCCCTTAATGGCATTTGATATAATTGACCACTTTCTCCTTTTTGAAATTGTCTCTGCTTTTGGCTTCTTATATCACACCCTCCTGGTTTTCTTCATATCCATTTGTCCTGATCTTCTCACTCTTCATTGATGGCTCTTTCTCCTCCTTCCAACCATAAATTGTTAGAGTTCCTTAGAACAAATTCCTTTTCTGTTTTCATTCTGTTCTCTCCCCTAGATGATTTCTTTCACTACCTAACTTCAAATGTCATTCACATGGAACCATCTTCTAAATTTATATCTCCACCTCAGAACCTTCTTTTTAATGGCACACTTCAAATCCAATGCTTCTTAGAAATCTCCACTTGGAAGTCTCACAGCTATCTCAAACTCAATATATTCCAAATGAAATTTTAAATTTTTCTCTCTAAACCTGAATCCCCCAATATTCTCCCATATCAACAATAGATATCACCACTTAGTTGCTCAAGCCAGAAATCTTCCTGCCTCACACTCCCTCACACTCTCATCTCTCCTGCATCCTATCCAACTAATTATCATATTCTTGTGATTCAACAGCCTACACTTATTTAAAAGACATTCGCTTCTCTCTATTGCTACTGTCACTCACCACCCCTGTAAAACCTACAACAGCTTCCCACTGTCTTTGTACCCTTTCTTGGCCCCCTGTAATTAATCATTCATACTGCCTCCAGAGTAATTTCCTAAATTGTGAAGTTCACCAACAAGGGGCAAAATTCTAGAGAAACAAAAGGGAATGAGACATAATCAGTCTTCTGAGATTCAAGAGAAAGAAATACTCTCTTCTGAATGAGGGGAACAGGGCCATTTGCAGAAGCTCATGCTTTGTGAATTTTGCATTTTTAATGTAATTAAATAAGAAGGCCATTCGATGAGCTGGCTCAAATGCCTTGGTAGGCTACCTAAGCAAACCAAAAACTACACCAGGGTCAATGCACTCGAATCTAACAAATGAAACCCAAGGACAACCAATCACCAACAGCCACTTAGGCTTTCCCAATCAAGGCAACCACTTAAGCTATAGCCTATCAAATAATTGCCATGCTTTGTCTCTGGGTCATCTCTATAAAAACCTTGCCCTACCTCCTGTTGGTGGAGCCCTCCTAACCACTTTCAGTTTGGCACTACCCTATTTGAATCAATGTTTGCACAAATAAACTCTTGTAAATTTTAACAGTGCCTCAGTTTATCTTTTAACAGCATTGTTCAGTTTTTCTCCAGCATCATTCAATAACCTAGGTGTAGGACAGAGGAAATAGATTACAGGATTGTAATTCATTTGAACAGCGATTTGGTCCCATCTGGGCTGGAAGGGAAGTAAGAACAGAAGGCTACTGACAATCTGGGAGAATTAGGATGAGAGAACTCAATGAAGTAGGAAAACAGTTTTAGTGGGATCAAAGTGTAGGAATAAGTGAGAAGTTGAAAAAGAGGATATTCTAGTCTGAGAATGGAATATGTGGAGTTTAAGATTTCATAGATAAAGTTGTTTTGAGTATTGACAAGGTCCAGGGTCTGGTCATGGGAATGTAGGTCAGTATAAGATTGTTAAGAAATTTTGTACACATACACACACATGTTACACACACAAACACATATACTTAATTTATCCTATATTCTTATTCTCTTTAGAGACAGAGAATTTCTGAGAGACAGAACTCTCTCTCTCTCTCTGCAGGAAGAGGAAATAATGGGAAGGAAGAACAGAGTCACCAGCTCTCCTTGGTTACTGTAGCACACGGCCTAGATGTCTTTGTGTAGCAACTCACACTTAAATCCCTTTCCTAGCTTGCAACTTTCAACTCTTGATATATAGTTCAGCATATTTATCTATCAATTTATTTGTTTATACATCACCTTACTATTATATGAAAACTTCTAAAGTAGATGTAATTGTCGGAAGTTTAGACTATTTCTTCTAAATATATATTTCTAGGAGAAGTTCATCCACCCTTTTTTTTCATTCTTGCACACATTTTACTTGCCTACCTCCATCATTGTAACCCTACCTCACAGGGCCAGCCTGCCTTGCTTCTGATCTGGTCCCTGGTCTCTCCTCCAATAGTTTT